GAGGGGTAGTGTGCTAGTATAGCACTGTGCCATGCCAAGGGATGGTCTGTGTGGAAGATAAGGTTGCTTATGTTCCCATTTTTATACAAATCAGCAAAAAGTGTCTCCTGCTTCCCCAAAAGAAGTTTCAATTTGTACTCTTTTCGTGTCTTGTCGTTTTTTACATTCAGAGGGTACTGTATTTTAATGACCTCTGAACAGTGGGGGGGGGGGGGGGGGGGGGGGGGGGGGGGGGGGGGGGGGGGGGGGGGGGGGGGGGGGGGGGGGGGGGGGGGGGGGGGGGGGGGGGGGGGGGTGCTTCTAAGGCCTCTCCATTTGGTTGGGGTAGACTGTACGACTCTCCTGCCATTGTTGGGCTCAGGGGCTTTGACACCTCTCACTTCACACGTCAGTGCTAATTGAAATTGTATCTCTTTGTCAAGCAAGCTTAAGCTTGGTAGCCTTAGCATTCAGTCCTTATAAAATAAAAATATATCATTGTAATGTATTTTTCTTCTTGGTTTTTGAAAGTGAAAAATAGCTTCATACTAAACATTACTCACTCAGTTCCAGGTTGGATGGTGTTTTCAGGTTTCTGTTTGTTTGCCAGAGCATTTGCTGTATAGTTTGAGAATAGTAATCCTTGGTAGTAGAAAGCTTTCAGGTAATTCCGTCCAAAATTAGGTTGTAGGTTTGGAGTTTTGGTTTGGAATGAAGGTTATGTTTTGGAGGGTAGTATCCTGTATATGTCCCTGCCAAAAAATCCTACTTTATCTAACTCTAAATCTATATATTTTGTTAGAAATGCAGGAGCAATGTCTTTGAGCTCTCTCTCTCTCTCTCTCTCTCTCCTCTCCTCCTCTCTCTCTCTCTCTCCTCTCCTCTCTCTCTCTCTCTCTCTCGTGCTCTGTTAAATGGCTGCAGAGTCTTTTATCCTCCCAAGACTGTTACATGTGTAATATGTTTTTTATCCAATGATAGTAAAGATCATTAATGTTGCCATTAATTTGAAAACGATAAAAAACTGCCAGTTCAGTGTTTGGCTACTGTTTAGCCCTGCAGCTCTCTGTAAAGGCAGTAAGGCTCTTGCAGTCCAGTGAAGATTAGATTGCTTTACAGGCCAGTGAGCCTGGGTGAATCCACAGAGAGCCGCTCACAAAGACTGACACAGAGAGATCAGAGTGGGGCCTCCTGGGTAGTGATGATGAACAAACCTTGGCCTCTCCTGAAGACGATAACAAATGCCTTCATCCTCCAGCCAAGACCATTAGTAGACACATAAATATATAATAATATGCCATTTAGCAGACGCTTTTGTCCAAAGCGACTTACAGTCATGCGTGCATACATTTTTGTGTATGGGTGGTCCCGGGGATCGAACCCACTACCTTGGTGTTACAAGCGCCGTGCTCTACCAGCTGAGCTACAGAGGACCACAGAAAAGTGCAGTTTGACAGAAATCGTACCTGTGAGAATTCATAAAATAACTACATTCTCAAAGTCATGGATAAAGCTCACTATTCTGTCACCCTTCAAGATGATAAAACGACAAGATCACGCTCCAGAGTTATCTTACAAGGACTACATCATGATGTGTGAAAACATGAGGTACACAGTATGTGTGGTACTCCATTACTCTGATGACACCAATATATCCTCCCTGCTGTAATATAGGCAAAGAGAATGAGGCTGTAGTATGATAATGTTCCTATCGTCCCTATTTAGGTTGACTTATTTCACCAATCTCCCTGTAATCTAATAATAATAATAATAATATGCCATTTAGCAGACGCTTTTATCCAAAGCGACTTACAGTCATGCGTGCATAATTTTTGTTGTTGTGTATGGGTGGTCCCGGGGATCAAACCCACTACCTTGGCGTTACAAGTGCCGTGCTCTACCAGCTGAGCTACAGAGGACTTAACATGTCCTAAATATTATGGTTAAAACAAAGTTGCATTTATTTCTTATATATTTTGATGTGTTAGGATACTACCACGTATATTGGAAATACAACAAAATAAAAAGGGGAGCAATGGTTACAAAGCTCAACAGCAACAATTGGAGGTTAGCTTTGAGGGAAACCTTCAAAACTTTTAACCAATACCTGACTGGGCACCTTGTCCTCATCAGGATGGGTCAGACAATGAGGAAGATACATTGGTCTGAATATGTATTCTTATAAAATGTAACCACAGATGGCAAGGCTAAGAATAAGTATATGCACATGCTTACACTCATTTTATGTTATCTTTTGTTTTATTGGTTGGGACTTAAAAGTCCCAGAGGGGGGAAATATATAGATGATTTTCAAGTACATATGTTGTAGAATTAAACACCTATATGCCTTAAAATGTTTATGGATTGAGAACCAGTTGAAGGGTTAATACAGAGCAGAGACATTTATCTGTTTTTCATAAGCTCCCTGTAGCTGGTCTGGATATGTCAATGACATGTGATGGAGATACAACTCCTCGTGGTGGCTGTGTGGAGATTGGAGTAACAATGGAACTAGTGTTATCATTTCTTTGTGCTTATGACCTTATGACCTGACACATGGCCACATGCACATAATCTCAAGGGCCAGGGAGGATGATAAATGATTAAATGTATGTGGTTGAGAATGGGTTATGGATGACATGTTTAAATCATGTTTAAGTATTAATGGATATGTTTTATAATGTGTTATGAAATGATAATGGTGAAACAGAATGAACATAATTGATACTTTGTACTCCAGATGCATGCCTAGATAGTGAATATAGTCAATACAGAGTGTGATTGTTCTTTAACGTACGTATGTACATAATTTTTTGAGTCATGCCACTAATAAGATACAGAGGCCCCACTTAGAGAAGCGCAAGTAGCCCTCGTGAGTAGCCAACATGTGATACTGAAAGATGCTATTCATTCATATAGGGAGGAACTATCAGCTGTATCAGTGTGGCTGTGCATGTGTCTGTATAAAAAGGAGCACTCCGGTTCAGGACAAGCAGTTGTTGTTCCATGGAGCAAGCTCGGCTTTGTTATGCAAATAATACAAGTCTAATTTTTGAATTCACAAGTTGCAGTCTCTTGAGAAATATTTTTAGGTTGACTACTTTTTGAGTCAAATATATCTACGACAATAGGTGTTAGCCTGGTGTTACAGTACAGTGAGGGGAGCTCGGCCAGGTCAAGGGATTCTCATAGCTCAGGATCTAGAATAGCCCCTGGCATAGATAGCCTACCGAAGTGTGAAAAGAGTGTGGATCTCTATTAATTGTCCTCACTGTAGTAATACTTATCTAACTGTGCAGTCATATGAAAAGTACTTGGATTAAAATGATGATGTAATATTTTATTTCACGGACATGTTGGAGGTGTGTTTGAGCGTCCAGTGAACCTCATCAATGTTACAGTCTCTAGAGCAGAGAACTGGCTCTCAATGTCCTTGTAGCTAGATCACTGTGATGCCCTGACCACTTCATGTGGATAGAGGAGTGGGTGTGTGCGTGGGTGTTTTTGTGTGTGTAGGTGTGTGTCCGTGCATGTCTGTATGTACATGCATGTCTGTTTGTTTGTACACCTGGGTGAGAGAACCTTTGATCCTCTTATTGGGGAGTTGAATATTTGAATTCCTAAATGGACACATCTCACCATCCCTTGTACTGTCTCTCCTCTTTATTCACCCATTAATCCCCCTCTCTCTTCTCTCTCTCCCCTTTCAGAGTTAATATGTTCTGCGTCTTTTCTAGATTAACAATCATCAAAAATACATGTACAGTGTCTATGTTATGTTGATTTAATTCAATGCCTACTTTATCAACAGTATGTTGATGTCAGGCTGGTCTTTGTTGTGGTGAGTGCACTCATGTAGGACTAAGATGTTTCTCAGGTTAAAGATAGAGCTTGGCTGTAGCCTAAAACGATGTGCTGCAACTACTTCTCTCAGCTCATTATCCATGCATGTAGGCCACTGGAATATGCAGCTCTGGGGAGGCTGTACATCTGGTGACCACAGGCATGACAGAGACAGAAAAGTGCAGTTTGACAGAAATCGTACCTGTGAGAATTCATTAAATAACTACATTCTCAAAGTCATGGATAAAGCTCACTATTCTGTCACCCTTCAAGATGATAAAACGACAAGATCACGCTCCAGAGCACGGCGCTTGTAACGTCAAGGTAGTGGGTTCGATCCCCGGGACCACCCATACACAAAAATGTATGCACACATGACTGTAAGTCGCTTTGGATAAAAGCGTCTGCTAAATGGCATATTATTATATTATTATTATCTTACAAGGACTACATCATGATGTGTGAAAACATGAGGTACATACAGTATGTGTGGTACTCCATTACTCTGATGACACCAATATATCCTCCCTGCTGTAATATAGGCAAAGAGAATGAGGCTGTAGTATGATAATGTTCCTATCGTCCCTATTTAGGTTGACTTATTTCACCAATCTCCCTGTAATCTGTTGGAAACCCACCAGTAACACAGCACCTTCAGGCCGCTCCTGTAAGTCGCTCTGGATAAGAGCGTCTGCTAAATGACTAAAATGTAAATGTAAAATGTGATATGTGGGCTCTATTTTAAGCATGTGAATCAAAAATAATTAGGCCCTGAGATTGCGAGGCGTTATTAAAATGCTAAACAGTTGAAGGGGTGGATAACAAGACAATCTAAACCTCATCAGGACATGGGAGGGAAGGACAGAGGGAGAAAATAGAACATGTCTGCTTTGTATTCACTGTGGGTGATTGTTATTTCATATATTACAGAATGTAATATGCCCATGGATCATTATTGACCAAATTAACTCAATGCTGATGTATTCACTCTTCCCTATCTGTAGTGGTTTGATATATTTTTTGTTTATTTATTAGTTTTGGTGAATTCAAACACATATGCCTAACCTAAGCATGCTGCTTCACATATCAACAGTAGTGAACATTTGCTGCAGAAATATTGACTGTTTTTATTAATTGATCATAGTATAGCTTTTGCTATATTGAAATGTTCATTAGGCCTACAGCTCGGTCTCCACTGTCAACATGTAGTCATAAAGTGCTGCAAGCTCCAGTAGCTTTGCATCCTCATTGGCATTATCAGTAGCAGGGCTAGCGGAGGCAGCCATATCCTTCATCTCATTGTTATCTTCCTCATCCTCAGCGATGAGGGCTTTCAGGCTGGTCTCACTGACGGATTTCTCCATAGAGGTGTCTGTTAGGGTGGAGATCAAATCTTCAGCAGAGTCATCCTTCACATCCTCATCAGTAGCGATCATGTCCTTAGTGCTCTCAGGGGTCAGTGCCATGTCAGGAGTGGAGTTCTGGGTGCTTGAGTCTGATGTGTGAACCTCTGTCATGGTCTCTGATGACTGGGGTGGTCACCATGGAGATCTGTCTCTGAGAGGTGGCAGTGGTCTGTGTGTCTGTGTTCATATCTGTTGTCTGTGTTTCTGTCTGCGGCTGTGTCGAAGTGTTGGTAGTGGATGGCTTTCTCTCTGTCCTCGTTGCCATAGACAAGGTGGTCAGAGGGACTCCAGGTAGCTGCCACTCCAGCGGGAGGATTGCCAGGTTCCTAGCCAGGGAGAACTGGGAGAGGGAGCTCTACCCGGAGGAAAAGGGGGGTTAGGTTGAGGTCAGAGGGGAAACTGCCTGGATGTGTGAATCTCTGTCTGTCCGTCTAGTAAGTCAGGTTTCAGTAGCTTACGTGGGCACGTGGTAGAGTCGGAGAGTCAGGACTTATGTAAATTTTCTCCACATGGGTCTTCACTTGCCGGGGTGTCCTTTGATTTGCCTGCATAAGACAATTGCAATACCCAATGATAAAACATTATGGGAAAGATATTTTGCTCACAATAAAAATATGATACAGCATGTTTGCTTGTCTCACAGAGTTCGGTCTTTGTCCCAAATTAGTTTCCCTTGTCTGTTTCTGGTGTTGTACTTCTGGGTTCGTGGTCTTGAGATGATTTCAATAGCTGGACTTCAGTCCAGTCTTTCTCCCTCCCTACCTTTCCCATTACTCTTGTCCTTTACCTTTTTGGTTGTAACATCTCCTCCAGACCAGTCTGAGCCTGTTTAGATTAGACATTTTGATTTTGAAGACACATCTTTCCAAGTGGAGCAATATCATTCTATATCTAATCAACAGACAACCCATAACACTCACCAGTATCAGATGCATTATCTTCGTCCCGGTCCCTTTTTACTCTGTCTGTGCTGAGAGGGACGAGTTTTTCTTCAGCTTGACTTTCCCTCCACAGCAGAAGAGAGTGAACAGCTGCAGGGCCGCCACAGCTGGATAGATGCTCTGCTTCTTCTCTTTCTGCTGGGTCTCCTTTGCTTTCTCCACAGGGGAGACCTCAGGGTCACAATCAGTACATCAGTTTAGAAATCTACTGATATTTCAAACTACAATATCAATAGCCAATGAGCTCTAGTGTGGTTTCCATGGCAAAATGTTACCCAATAATAACTAGGGTTAGTGCTATCCGAGATCCTTGAGACATCCCTACCCGAAACCCTAACCTTACCTCTCCCCTTACCCTAACTCTAAACCTTACCCTTACCTTAACCATTTCAATTTCAACTTCAATGGGGGTAAGGTCAGAGTTGGGACGTTCCATGGATTCCGTTAAGACTTTTTAACTAGTGGGGGGCCTACCCCATCCGAAGGGGCATTGTGACATTATCACATTTGTCAAGCAGTGTCAAATATCAAATTCACACAATATACTGTGTTTTCCTTATTGTGGTCATTATCAATTATCAAATGCATTGGCAAATCCTCATTGATAAGCAGGTTTGGATGTCTTACCGAGTTAGATCTTTGTTTAATGTCTTTTTCTGTTTCCGGTGTCGTTCTGCGTTTGTGGTCCTGAGATTTTCTGAACTTCAATCCAAACTTTCTCTTTCCGAACCTTTCCTTTACTCTTGTCCTTGATCCTTTTCACATCACCTGCAGAATAGTCAGAGCCTGTAAGTGAAACATTTCCTCCAAGTGAAGCCTAAATAATTGTACTATGTAGCAGCACTAGTCAATAGACACCTCCTCACACTCACCAGTATCAGAGACATTATTGTTGTTCGTTTCGTGTATCGTTGTTGCCTTTCTCCCCTCACCACTCTGGGAGGGATCAAATGGTGTCTTCTTCATCCTGACGCAGCTCAGCAGTGTAAACAGCTGAAGAAAGGTCAGGGCTGGAGGGATGCTCTTCTCCTTGGGTTTATTTTTATGTTTATGGGTCTCCTTTGGTTGCTCCCAAGGGGAGACCAGAGGGACAGGGTCACTAAGTGTCTGACCCATAAACACGCTAGGGTAGTGTACTGTTGTAATCAATCAAATCATTATAGGTTGAGAGATGTAGCTAACACGCTCTTCCTGAGCTTGTCTAACAATTTTAATGTGGTCTGGGATTATGTTAGAAGTGTGTTTCCGTGGCAACGTTACCTCATAATGTTCCCTTATAATAACTAGTGCTCCATCCCTGGTAAAGTGGCATTGTTACATCATCAAGTTCCAGAACACTGGAGCAGCCTATTACTATAGACCTAGTCTGCCTGTATGTCTGTATGTCTGTCTGTCTGTACAGATGTAGGATCTTAATTTGATCACTCTTTTGTTGCTTAGATTTGTACTGCAGAGCAAGAAATGCAAACTTGTATTGTATTACAAAAGGCTTCTAAAGTTTGTCATTTCCATTTTAAAATGTAAGACTTGATTTGCCCAAACAGAAAATGTATCAACCCCTACAAAAAATGTCCATTAATTATAATCCACATCATAATTCACATTTCCTGTTGCTGCAGAATTATTTTCCTGCTGTAGCAAACTGGCTCAAATTAAGATCCTACATCTGTATGTCTGTCTCTCTCTTTCCTTCTCTCTCCATCTCTCTCTCTGCCTGTACTCATATGCAACCTCTGCCTTCACCCTATTGCAGCACTTTGTTTTCTCATCTATTGCCTGCCTGCATCATGTTGCAAGGAGAGGGTGGCTGAGCACAGGTCAATCACTCCACATTGAGAATGATTATACAGTTGATTATCAAGTGCCACACTCAACATATTACTACTGTTGGCAATCAGAATACATACTTGTTGTAGTCCAAGAGTCTACTCAGTGAATACATGCAGGCCAGCGGGCAAGAGTCATGGCAACACTACTATATTCACACCTCCTCTATGTCTGCACTATTAAAAGCAGATCGCCGCCACATGTAGCATAAGAGATAGGTAAACAGCCTTTATGCGACACCTTCATTATTCACCATCTTTGTCATCTGTATGGGAGAGCATGGGGAGGCAGTGCTGTGCTGCTATGCCTTAAAAGGCCACCAGAGAGCATCAAATGACTACATACAGTATGTCAATGACCAAATGTTGTATGTAAAGCAATCATGAATGGTTTTCTAATATACTGTTTAGTACATCACATATCATAAAATAGTCTACACATCATAACATAGGCTACACACAAGTGCAAGTTTCAGTGGGGTAACTGAATTGATTCCCTTCAAAAATGTCAGTCCATTTATCCAATGAATCCTCCTGTTTCTCTCTCTCTCTCCTCTCTCTCTCCTCTCTCTCCTCTCCTCTCTCTCTTCTCTCTCTCCTCTCTCCCCTCCTCATCTCTCCCCCCGCTCTCTCTCTCTCCCCTTTTTCCTCCCCTTTCTTTTTGTTTTTTTTCCTTTTGGGCTTTTTCCTTTTTCTCTCCTTTTTTTGCTCGTTTTTCCCCAAGCCCCTTTAAAGGGTAAAGGTTTCCGTAGTAAAAATTAATTTTTGGCCTATTTAAAACGAAAAAAACCCGGGAGTCAATGGGGGTTTGGTAGGTTAGCCCTTTGGCCTCTCCGGGAAAAACAAAGCCTCTTGCCAAAACCAAATGGAGATAAAAATTGTTTAGGCCCGAGGGGTTTAAAAACAGTTGGGGGAAAATGCCAAAAGGGGCGAGTGGTTTTTTTTTTTTTTGGGTCGTATTTTTTTAACCACCTTCTTCTCGACCCCTAAAAAACTTTTCCCTTCATCCTAGGGAGGCCTTTTTTGGGGGGCCCAATAAAATGGGAAAGGGGTTTTTGTTATGTTGTTCCCCCCCGGGGGGTTATTTACATTTGGTTTTTATTAAAAAAAAAGGCTTAGAGGGGACAAAAATTTTTTTTCTTCTATGGTGTTTTCATGTTTATCAATTTTGTTCCTCAAACCCCAAAAATTTATGGCCATGCCCCCTGTGCCTTTTGGTTTTTTGGAGGCCTGCTACCTTTGGGGGGATCTGGTTTTATGACCTTTCCCCACTGTGGTCCCCTTTTTTTGCCAAAGTTTTTTAATATTTTTAAAACTAAAACAATTTCCCCACACAACCCAACTTAGGACTGGAACCCCCTCCCCCCCTTTTTTTGGGGTTTGTTTATTTGGGGTTTTTCTCAGGGGAATAGTTTTTGGGCAAATGGAACAAAACATTTCAAAAAAAATTTAAAAATTTTGAAATGCATTCGGTAAAATGCTCGTTGGTTGTAACGTGAAAGCTTTTTGGATTTGCTGTATTTTCTTTCGTTCCCTTCCTAAGGCACTGCCTCACATTGTTTTGCCAAAAGGGGGTTCAAAGGCAAAATTTTCTAGTAAATTGCACCTTAACCTTTACGGGTCACAAAAACTTCCCCGGGGGAATTATTGTTTAGAATCCCCAAAACCCCGGGAAGAAAGGGGGGGGGCCCCACCCGGCAAGCCCAGGAAGGGGACCGGGGGGTCTCCCCCTACAGTTTTTTTGGGGATTTTTATCAGGGGGGG